ATGAGTGTTAGTAACTTAATTAATTAAAAAGTTGATTTGTTTAACTTTCTATTGATATATAGTTTGTTATGCTTTTAAAGAGATTTACTATTCGAATTTTAATTTGTTGTCTATCTTATGCCATCCAAATTTTATTCAAAAAAATGTTCGATCACAGCAAAAAGATTTTTGTTAAAATTGCTTGTAGCGAATGAGTTAATTTTTTAAGAGTTTAATTAACAACATTAATTTGCTAAACTTTTGATCGGGTACAAATATACTCAAAATTTTTATTTAATCATGTGAAAATATATTTAATGAAAATTTATTCTGTATAACATGTATTGCTTATTTTATTTATAAAATTGATTAACTATTGCTAAAGATTACAAAAATGTGTAGCAATTTTAAAATTAAAATTGTTTAACAAAAAACTTTTTATTGTCAATTTTGGTAGTTTTCTGATTTGTAATTTTAAGAGATTTTAAGAGAAGTTGGTTAGAGGGCAATAATTAAGAATTTAAAATAAATTTGCATCAATCCTATGCTTCAATGACATCTTAAGTAAGTTTGTCTCAAAGTCAGCCAAAAAAAAAAGTTTAAAGAATCATTTATGAAAACCAAAAGATCTAGAGTTAGACTTTTTGCAATCACAGATGAATTAACTATAACTGCTTAAATATAATTTGTTGAGTCAAAGAAACATAGCTTCACACCATATTGAATAATACAACTGATCATTAAATTGAAACACTAAGTCAATTTTCTGAAAATGTGTCCTCTAATTTGTTATTTGCATTAATAAGCAAATAGGGATGTGACAGAAGTTCTGGTTACTGTACCTAAAAGCAAAGATTTGAGAATTCTGATGCTAATGATGAGTTTCTGTTTGTGTTTGCATTTGTACCATTAAGATTGAGTGATGGCTGCAATATTATTATTTGGCAAAATCAATGGCCATTGTCAACACTCTATTGCTGACCAATTAAATTCATATTTTCAAAAGAAACACGAATTTATTGTAATAGAAACTAACAAAGTTTTAAAAGAAATACCTAAACTTCTCCCAACACTGTGTACTGTTGGTGAATTTAAATTTATTGTGAATCACAATCTGTTACTAAGGATAACAGATGAAAAAGTATGCAATACTTAAACCGATATGCGATCTAAACAAAAATGTTATATATGTGGTGCTACTCCAAAAATGATGAATGGTGCATTAAAAAGTACGGTAGATTAAAATGGAAATTATAATTTTAGTTTGTTTACCCTGCATGCTTGGATAAGTACTTTTGAATGCTTGCTACACATTTGCTACCATTTGGGTATAAAAAAGTAGCAAGTTAGACCAAAAAAAAAAAAAAAGACCAAAACCTCGTTATGGCAATACAAATCATTGCAACACAGCTTGCAAGTTTTATCTAAATTTAGAAAAGAGCGGAGAGATTACAAGATTAGGCGTTGAATTAGTTAAAAAATTTAATGTTTTATCAAGAACATTATCTTGTGGCCATGACATTGATTGAGTCAAAATTGAAAAAACTTTTTTTATTACATCTTGTTACAGTGCACAAAATTTTGCATACTACGAAAGTTATCTTAAGAAACACAAAGTCAAGATTGTAGGAGATTTTGAGAATATCATTCATTGGATTTGCTGAATATACTCTTAATAACATCTGTCCTTGTTATCAATTCGCTTATAAAACTGCCTTCAAAATGAAGCAAAAAATTGACAGTAGAGGTTTTGAATTTTATTGTTCTGACTCCAAGAATAGAAAATTTTAATTTGGTTGATGAATCTTTTTATGTTTCAAATGATTAATCCTCTGAAGATTCAAGTGAAGTGTGTTTAGAGGATACAAATGACGAGTTTTCTGAGAACTAAAAATAAAATTTATTATTTAATATTATGTGTCCTTGCTATTTAAATATGTTTTTATTTTGTACTTCATTTTTTCATTATAAGAGTGGTTGCTGCAATGAGAGAATGAAGGGAGGTTGTAGTTGAGAATGTTTGCCCCCTATCCTCCACAAATATTCAATAAAACAATAAAATATTATTTATTACTACCTTTTATGACTAGAACAATTAAAATAATGAAGAAAATATTTTTGTCAAGCTAGATGAGAGGGTTTACTGTGCATTGATGAGGCAAAAAATGTTAAAAGAAAGTCCTTATCAGTTTTTTGTGCATTTGCTATTCTAAATTTGGTTGTATTTTAATAAATATTATTTATAAAATAATAAATGTAAAGACTTCTTTTAATAAAATGATATGTAAACTTTTTTAGATGATTAGTAAATAAATATAGTTGTTATGTCTTTACTTAAATAAATATATCAAAGATGTTCTTAGTTAAATAAACATTATAACTGGCTTTGGTTAAATAAATGTTACAATTATGTCTAAAGTTGAATAAATATTATAATTATGTATTTAGTTAGATAAATATTATAAATATGTCTTTAGTTAAACGAATAAAAAAAAAAAAAAAATATGTTATAAGTAAAAAACCATTTTTAACTTTAAAGACCAGTATCACAAAAATTGACCAAAATTTTTGTGCCATGGCACATTAGTTAGAATTCTGTCTTAGAACCAAGAGATCTGATGTTCAAAGTCAGCTCTAGCCCAATAAGCGGCATTGGCAAAGAAGGAGGTCTGAACTTCCTAGTTAAGTGTTTTAATTTACCTTATGTTTTAATGTACTGTTTGCAGGAAGTAGCTCCTTATAACTACTCCAGGTCAGGTCAGGTTCAGGTCCTTGAGTTGATGTCTTTTCACTCTTAGATGATAAATGTGCCTCCTATGTAATCTCCTGAATTCAGGCAGGAACAGAAGCTTTTATTCTTCTCATTGGTTCCATGTAAAGCCTCATTCTGTTTCATGGTTTTCACCTCCCTGTGCAGCTGCTCTATATAATTGTAATCATTTTTTTTTTTTTATCTTTTTCAAAGGAACAACTCTATTGAAAGCAAATGACTATTTATGATGCTAAACTCCATTATTCTCAGTTTACTAAATCTCTTATCTTATTTCAGAAGTTAGACTCTAATCACTTTTTAAAATTTTTTAACAGCCTCACTAACAAGGGTAGGTCTAACATTTCATCTCTCATTCATGGGACTGATTTCATTATCTCTTCCAATGATAAGGCAAAACTATTTGCAATAAACTTTGCTTCTAAATCGACTCTTGAATCTTATGGCCATTCTCTATCTTCCATTCCAATTAAACAGGTTAACCCATTGTTAGACATTTAAATCACTCCAGCTTCTGTTACTCAAGTCATATCTCAATTAAACTCTTCTATGGGTCCATAGTTGAGGTCCAGACAACATTCCTGTCATAGTTTTTTAAAACTGTTCCCCATAACTCTCTTCAATTTTCTTTAAACTATTTAATAAGTGCTTGACTGAGTCTTGTTTTCCTGCTGCTGGAAAATGGCATCTGTTGTTCCAATTTTCAAAAACTCTGGTGAAGATTTTGACCCCTTCAATAATTGTTATTGATAATTGTTGGGGTCTTTTTTATGTTATTAGCAAGGTCTTTAAGTCTTTGATCAACAAATTTCTCACATCCTAACTTAAGTTAAATAACTTATTGTCAGACAGTCTATACACTTTTTGATACTCTATGGCTGACTTGCTATCGGCTGTGATTGAAAGATGTTATTGTGCATTAGATAGAAGCAGAGAGGCTAGGGCTATTGCTCTCAACATATCTAATGCTTTTGACAAAGTTTGGCATGCTGGTCTATTCCATAAGGTTGCTTCATAAGGTGTATGTGGGAAAGTTTTTGAGAATATTGAATTGTTTTTTTTTACTGCTTTATTAAAGTCATCTTCGAAGGCCAACTATCTTCTTCACTTCTTGTAACTTTTGGGGTACCTTAAGGTTTTACCCTTGGTCTTATTTTGTTTTTTATTAATGATCTTCTTGACAACCTTATATTCTAAGTAGCTGTTTTTGCTGATGACTTAACTTTATACTCCTGTCTTGACAAAAAGTCTTCTCTTTTCAATCACTTAGAACAGGCAGTTAATCTTGAATTTGATATTACTCCTTTAATAGAGTTAGCCAATTTTCATTCCAACAAAACAAACAGCTATCGCAATATTTTCGACATTTAATTGTTAATGAATGGCAACCCTCTTGCTGAGTCCTCTTTTTTGCGTCTTCTTGGATCATCATTTACTAATGAGCTTTCATGGAAATTGTATATACAATCAATTGCTAAATTAGCATCTGATTGGATGCTAAATTAGCATCCTGTTAACGTTGTTGGACCTACTCAATCTGCTAAGCTTGAGCCTCTTTCCCATCATTGTAAAATTGCATCTCTTTCTCTTTTTTACAAATACTATCATGATCACTGCTCAAAGGAGCTATCATCTCTAGTTCCATTAACTAAAATTCATTCTTGTTTGACTTGTCATTCAGGAAAGTCTCATTTATTTACTGTATTTGTCCCTGTATGCTCTAAAAATTTTTGTTTGTCTAGTTTTTTTCCTCGCACTTTAACCCTTAGGAACTCTCTCCCTTTTTCATATTTTCCTGACTCATACAACCTATAACTTTTCAAGTCTTCTATCAACCATTTCCTTGCTCTCTAACTCTATTCTTTTTTCCTAGTAACTCCCAACTTGATAGTGGTTGCTTGCAGCCTTGTTACAAGTGAATCAGAAATGGAAAAAAAAACTTTGATTTACGTCCAATAAGTATAACAAGCAACAAGTATAACAAAAACGCATAAACTCAAGTGAAAGTTTTATTTAGAGACTAATAATCAATTATAAAAGTTAAAAAAAAAGTGAAATCTACTAAATTGATGTCTCTATGTAAAACAGCTTAAGAGTTACGATAAATTAAAATTAGGATAAAAAAATTATAATTCTGATTTAAATAGTTTAACTAAAAATAGTTTTATTGAATTTTAAATTTACAAATACTTAACTAAAAAAATAGATAAAATATGATTTTATTGTATTTTGTTCAGAATTTTTGTCTTAGAGCTGATGCAGCAATTTTTTATGATGAACACAAAGGAAAACCATTTTTTGGGTAAGCAAAAGTATTTTCTTTTATTTAATGATTATTCACTATCTAAACAGTGCAAAAATATAAATGATTAAAACTCATATTTAACGTAAAAATAGGCAAATATAAAATGTCCTTATTCTATTTTACAATAAAATTTAAAATTTTATTTGAAGTTTATCTACTTCTATCTATTTTTAATGTCTTTTATTTTTAATATCATAAGAACAGGAGTAGTCTGTTTCTCTCTTTTTTTTTTATCAATATTAATGAATTTATGAATTTTGTAATAAATGAATCATGCCTTTGATTTCTATCTAAACAGTGCATTTGATTTTATAAAGATTTTTTTAAGCTAATATTGCTCACTTTATTCTAGGGTAAAATTGTAAAAGCATTTATTTTTATTTAAATGCTCTAAACAAGTTTAAGTTTAAGACTAAATTCTTTAAATTTCTAAAACTTAAATTTTGACAATTGTTATTAAATTGAAGTCTTACTTCATTTTAATAAAAATCTTAAAATAATTACTTTAAGATGTTTGTTTCAAAAGGCTATTTATTTGAACATTTCATAAAGTTATGTTAATGACCTTTTTTAAAAAAATATTAAAAAAAAAATAATAATAAATAAATTAAGGATTTTAATTAACATGTATTAAACTTGCTGTCTCTTTACAGGGAGCTGTTGGATTATTTAACAAGTGGCCCTGTGATAGCTTTAGAGCTAATGGGGGAGGATTGTGTCAAAAAATGGAGAGCCTGTCTTGGTATGTTTTAAATATCTTTTGTTGTATAAAATAAATGTTGTAATTTTTAATGTAATGTAATTTCACAATATTTTAAAACAATATTACTTTTTTTTTAATTTATTAATGTCAAGCAAATAAATATATCTGTACTTTTTGCTTACAAAGCAAGTGAGAAGGTGTTAAATTTTTTTTTTTTTTTTAAATTTGTTTGTTTATGCGACACAATGATCGCAAAAAGTGACCAATGGAGCCATCCAGTTTCGTAGACCTGAGAGATGTGATAATAAAAACAGTTATTGTCGTTGAATAAAAAATAAAAGTCATAAGAAAATATAAAATGAGTGGTAAGACTTTTGTAAAGAAAAAGAAGGTGAAGTTAAATTCTCGGGGAGTAGGGAGAGAAACAACTAACACTCTAGTCATTTACTGTGTGTAGATCATATGTAACATAGAACAAATATTTGATATACTGATTTTAGAGACTGTTGATGTCTACAGGTATGATGGTGTAGTGCATTAGTACGTACCGTTTGGTCGCCTATCATGGTCTCATTATGTTTTTGTTCACTTTCAAATTGGGTGAATAGAAAGCTAAACACACTCACTTCTTGCGCTTATGGGCTAGCACATCAGAGCCAGATGTAAAACCTACAGAATGGATTTCAATTGATTGAATGCACACATTAGTCACTGTAGGCCACAACCCATCACTCTTTGCCAAATAGTTATTGCCCTGTGTTAGCATAGTCATTAGGTTATTGGTCATCATAACCACATCCAGCGGGATAGCCTAATGTTTGTTTTGTACTTGTAGTGTACATTGGAAAAATTTGGGGCTTACCGGCCACAAAGAAAAAGTAACTAAAAAACTTTTTTTTTCCATATTTAAAAAAAAAAAAAAATTGTCTTTATCTATTATAATTTGCATAAGGTATTCTAGTTAAAGAAGGTAAGTGTTCATTAAGATCATAGTTCATTCAATTAAGATCATAGTTCTTATTAGTATTTTGAAAGCATTTTTAAATTTTGGCAAGTATTAAGCCTCTTAAATCATTTCGAAAACACAACTAACATACTTATTTTTTGGTATATTTTATTAAAAACATACTTTAGAACATTTTTAAGTGTGTAGTAGAGGCTAAATAGGCATTACATTGACAGACTTTTACATCTTGCTCATTTTGTATCTATGATGTTGTGGTAAAAATATTATTAATGTTAAATAAATCTATATTAAATTTAATATATGGGGTAAGCTACACCTAGTAAAAAGCTGACAATGTGTCATGTTTATAAAAATTCTGACAATGTGTCATATTTGTAAAAATATTTGGATAAAAGTTGGAATTACAGTTGCTATGCTTTCCCAAAATACTTTTATTAATGTATCCAAGTCTTTTCATACGATATCCAAAGGATTTAAGGTAAGCACAAAAGAGCTGTACTTTGCTGATCAAAGATCAGCACAATTTTGTTTTTGATTTTTTGCATCCTGTTATAAAAGGAATAATGATTATTTGGTTATAAAAACCATTGCTTTATAAGAGCATAGCTTTAGACAATATTTGTTTAAAGAATGTAGCAATAAAACTTTAGTAAATTTATGAATTGGCTATATAATGTGTTTACTGTGCATTATTATCTAAGTAATTATAATGTGTTTTTTCATATTATATAAATTCTCAGTCTCAGGTCCCAGTGTTATTTGGATCACGTGTACAACTCTCTACAATTAACACGTGTACAATTCTCTAAAATCTTGAGCAAAAATGTAGTTTTCAAATTTATTTAATACAACAGCAAAGTAGTATGTATTTTAGTTCTTCAAACCTTTATAACTTGTTTATATTAATAAAATGCTTATTAGTTATCATTAAATGTCAGGTTATTTTATCCTGCTACTGGTAACATTGTTACCCAGTACAACCTGATTCATGTCCTGGTGCCTTGTAGGGTACACTTGTTTAGGCGAAGACTAAAAGGAGCTAACTCTGACTTAAAAGACTTAGAAGGCCTCCTAGGCAAAGATTTAAGGGGTAAACAAATTCTGTTGACCAGCTATGCACCTCTTTTTCGCCTATTAAGCTAGCGTAGATGTATTAATAATACATAATTTCCAGTTTAGGATATTGAATGATGGATCTTCTTGACTCAATGCATGGATTTTACTTTTGTCTCTATTTTTATGGCTAGGTAACTTTTTCTATTATTTCCTAATGAGGCTACAGCTCTTAAATTCAGTTTCATGGTTCTGAGGCCTGCTGGTAGTCAGGTTTCTTGAACTCTGTGGTTGCTCTCAAAGAGACTGATTTCTTCAACAGCTGTAAAGTATCAGAATATTTAAAGTGCCATGTTGGGCATGGATGGTCCTGTTGGTGTGCATTGTTGAGGTTACATTAGAAGCCCTTTGTTAGAGCTTAGGGTTTATTAGTAATAAGGTAATTGCTTAGACTAATAAATAGTGTACTGAGTACTTTCTGTGCTTTGAGTCTGGTTCTTTAACAAATTTAAAAATGATTAAAGTACTAAAAACTATAAAACACAAAAAACCATCATCATCACCACGTTCTCTAAATCTATTGTTCACTAATATTCGTGGTCTTTAAAGTAACTTTTTTTTTTGTTGAGTATCTCTTATCTCTTGCAAAGTTCACCAGATCTTCTTGCTCTTTGTGAAACTAATTTGAGTTCGGCTGTTTCATCTTGTGATCTTAGTGTTGATAGTTATCTTCCTTTAATTCCTAAAGACTCCAATAGTCATATGTTTGGTCTGGGCATCTACATTCATAAGAATTCACCAATTTTTTAGGTTTGAATTCATAGACTATTCTGTTATGTGATTTCGTGTAGCACCACTTCACTCTATTGTCTTTCTCTTTGTTCTATATCGTACTCCTTCATGGTTCTAGTGTCAGTGACTATGCAGGCATCAAGGCTCACAACTTTTGTCTTTCTCAATCTCTAACATATATTGTTAGCTTTCCAACTCGCTTTCCAAATCATTTACCTTTTCTACTTGACTTATGTCTTGTTTTTGATAAAAAACAAGACATAAGTCAAGTAGAAAAGGTAAATGATCCAACTTTTGATAAAATTATGTCTACCTGTAAGATCAGTTTAAATAATCTGCTTGTCACATGTGCCAAAAAAAATATCACTTTTGATTTAAATAATAGAATAATCAATGGGCTATCCATATAATAAGTTGTTATAAATGGCTTTTTATTTTTATTTATTTATTCTTTAATTGTATTTATGGACCTTTCGCCCATGTCAAATATGTTAATGTATTTTACAAAAAGAGTGCTCTGTTAGCCTCAAAATTAGATTTTGTGGTGGAAAATTTTAATATATATTAATTTTTATTTTATTATCTTCTGTTGAAAATATCACTTTTTATATTAGCTACATTAAAATTTGTTTATCTACATAAAGCCCTTGTATTTTAAATACATTAAAAAATTTAAGTAAAGGAAATTGATAAGTTTATTTAAACTGATAAAATTTTATTTATATTAAAGATTCCTTAATTTCTTTATCATAAACACATTATTATTTTTTAAAGGCCCTGCCAATTCTTTATTATAAAAGGCACATTATTTTTTGAAGGACCTACCAATTCTTTAAAAGCAAAACAAGATGCTCCTAACAGTATTAGAGCTATCTATGGAACAGGTTTCACACTTTCTTTTTTTTTCTAATATATTTCACTATTTTCTTATTATATATTTCATAATTTTTCTTTTAAATGGTTTTTTATTTTTTTTGTGATATATATTTTATAATTTTCTTGTTACATAGTTTGTTTTTTTTTGTCACATTATTTTTTTAAATATACATTTCACATTTTTCTTGTTATGTGTATTTCAAAATACTTAACAAAATGGTTTTAATAAATCTTTTTTTGTTTTTAAAGGTTTTTTAAAAATTTTATGAAATGTTTAGATGGAACTAAAAATGCATGTCATGGTTCTGATTCCCCTTCATCTTCTGCACGTGTAAGTGTTTTTGTTTATAAAGATTTGCTATTCCATGTTTCTCAAATATTTTTTTTATTTTGTTAACAAACTATGGCTAAACATGGTTTTTGATTCTACTTTACTAACAAGATTGTAGCTACAGATTAGTGCGTCCTGAAAAAAATTTGTAGATTTTATAGAAATTTTCGGGTTATATAAAACTCCTACATGTGAAATGACTAAATATATCAAAAGTATTGGTCTAAAATAAATATTAGAGTTGAGTGTAAAACTTTTGAATATTTTTAATTTTCCACTGTTCAAAGTAATTCAAAATAAATTCTATATCTGCTAATTTATCTTATAAATGAGCTACCAGTAACTAACTGCTCAGTGTCAGATATATCCTGCATTATTTTAACCTTCAAAAACACTTAAGGTAGTTTTGGTATTACGTTTTTGTATAATTTATCTACTTACTCGTTTATTTCTTTCCTTTATATTGGAGTTCCAATCAGATTTGTTAGTCCTTGGCCTGGCCTTAAGGCCAAAAATTTTGGTCTTGGCCTTCAAACTGTTGGCCTTGGCCTTGATTGTTTTGGCCTTAAAAAAAACATATTTTTTTATTGATTTTGTTGAATTCTGAACATAACCTTGGTCTAATTTTACAAAATGTGGTTTCATTTTCACAGCACTTGCTACTTACATTTTTGTGAAGAACTGGCCTGGTATTGCAAAAGTTGAAGTCTTAAATCTTTGCTTTCGTCTTGGCCTTTAAACTCTTTTAGACCTTTAAACTTGGTCTTGACATCAAAACTCTTGGCTTTGGCCTTGTCTTTTGCCTTATAAATTTTAGCCTTAATCTTGTAACTTGTGGCCTTGGCCTTGCTACTTTTTACCTTAGCAACTCTGGTTCCTATCCAAAAAAAATATTATTGTATGTTCAGCAAAAACAGGAAGCAGAATTTTTTTTTTTTTTTTTTTTAGCATCTTCACTTCCAACAAGGCTGCAAGCAACCACTATAAGAGTTGGAAGTTACTGGAAGAGAAAAGACTAAATCTGTAGAGCAAGATAACGATTGACTGATGACTTCAATGATTGCAAATTATATGAATCAGGGAAGCAAGATGAAGGAAGCGAATTCCAAAGAACTGATGTTCGAGGAAAAAAACTAGAAGAATAAGAGTTTTTGAAGCACTTAGGAACAGTCACAGAAAAAGGATGAGACTTAATTGAATGACAAGTGACATGAGAATGAATTTTAGTAGATGGCACAAGAGACGCTAGCTCTTTAGAGCAGTGCCCATTATAGTATTTGTAGAAAAGAGAAAGAGAAGCAACATCACGACGATGTGACAAAGGTTGGAGATTGGCTGCCAGAGCAGGTCCAACTATGTTTACAATGCGTTTTTGCACCTTGTCTAAAAGAGAAAGGGCATCATTAGAAGATCCGCCCCAGATGTGGCAACAGTATTCCATACAGGGACGGATTTGAGATTTATAGAGATAGAGAATAGAATCTGGGGTAAGAAAGTGTTGAGCTCGATAAAGAGATGCAACCTTAGCAAATGCTAATTTTGCAATGGATTTGATATACGGTTTAAATGAAAGATCAGAAGTAAGAGTTAATCCTAGAAGATGAATGGTAGATGACTCATCTAGTACATTAACATTCATAAATATAGTAAGATCTAAATTATTACGATAACGATTAGCCGAATAAAATTGAGTTTTATCTGAATTAAAGTTCACCAGCCACTGTGAGCCCCATGCTGTAGCAGAAGTGAGATCCTTTTCAAGCTCAGATACCCCCTCCAGGCAATCAGAGAGTGTAGGCTTCTTATCATGACAAGAGTAAATGGTAGTGTCGTCAGCGAATAATGCCACCTTAGATGTGAGATTATCTGGGAGATCGTTAATGTAAATTAAAAAGAGTATAGGGCCAAGGATTGAACCTTGAGGAACCCCTGAAGTTACAGGATATGAAGAAGAGTGTTGTCCATCGAGGACAACTTTTATACTACGATTGGAAAGAAAGGACTCAATAATCTTAAAGATGTTACCAGATACACCATAAGAAGAAAGCTTATGGAGAAGACCAGCATGCCAAACTTTATCAAAAGCTTTAGAAATGTCTAGTGCGATAGCCTTAACCTCTCCACCTCTATCTAATGCACGGTAAAACCTATCGGTTATTACTGTTAGCAAATCAGCTGTAGAACGAGAAGATCGAAATCCATATTGATGATCAGAAAGTAAGTTATTTGATTCAAGATGAGAGATTAAGTGTTTGTTGATTAAAGATTCAAAAACCTTGCTTATGACAGGAAGGAGACTAATGGGACGGTAGTTAGATGAATCAGATCGCTCTCCGGAATTTTTGAAAATAGGGATAACAGATGCTGCTTTCCAGCATGATGGAAAACAGGACTCTGATAAGCACTTGTTAAATAGTTTTGAAAGTATAGATGAAAGCTCCGGAGAACACTTCTGCAAGACTACAACAGGAATGTTGTCAGGACCACAAGCTGTTGAAGAGTCTAAGCAGGAAATTACCTTTGATACAGAAGCTGAAGTGATGCGAATGTCAAGCAAGGGATCAACCTGTTTGACGGCTATGTCAGGTAGAACGCAACTAGTGGAATCGAGAGATGATATTGATGAAAAGTTCTTAGCAAACAATTCAGCTTTGTCTTTAGGTGAGGTGACAAAGTCTGAACCATACAAGAGAGAAGGAATAACAGATTTGCCCTTATTATTGATACTGTTAAAGATTCTCCAGAAGTCTCGAGAGCCTAATTTTTGTGATGAGATACGAGATTTTATGACCTGAGAATAGCGAGCTTTGGCGTCAGACAAAACCTTTTTACAATGGTTTCTGGGGATAGTGAACAGATGTCTGTTTTCTGGAGAATTGTTTTGCTGATAGATATGGAAGTAACGGTTTTGATTAGAAATTGCTGCAGCGCAATGTGAGGAAAACCAAAGAGAAGAGTGAGGCTTGACCTGGAATTGTTGAGAGGGAATAAAAGATTCCATTCCAGCAGGAAGACGAAAGATTTCTACCCAAGGGCCATCACGAAGAAAATCACGGAAAGAGTCCCAGTCAGCTTTAAGGTAGTTGTATGTGGTACGATGATAGGGGGATTCTGATGGAGTAGAAGAATTTGATAATAGTTTTAGAGAGATCAAACCGTGAAGCACCTAAGGGTGAATGTGGAGAAATTGAGCACTGACTAGGATCCAAAACAAGACATAAGTCGAGTAGAGAAGGTAAATGATTAGGGTTGTCTGGAAAGCGAGTTGGAAAGTTGACTATTTGAGTTAGAGATTTAGAAAGGCGAAAGTTGAGGGCCTTAACGCCAGCAGAGTCACTGACACTAGAGCCAAGCCAATCGGTGTGATGGGCATTAAAGTCACCAACAACGACGATATTGGCCGATGGATAAAGAGAGAGGGCTTGGTCAATTTGATCAGAAATAACATCGAGAATAGTGCAATCTTGGGATGAAGGAGAGCGATATAGAACAAAGAGAAAGACGATAGAGTGAAGTGGTCCTAAACGAAAGCACATAAAAGAATAGTCAGTAGATTCAAACCTAGTTTCACGACGAATGGGTGAGTTCTTACGAATGTAGATGCCCAGGCCAAGCATGTGATTATTGGAGTCTTTACGAATTAAAGGAAGATAACCATCAACACTAAGATCACAAGATGGGACAGCAGAACTCAAATTAGTCTCACAAAGAGCAAGTAGGTCTGGTGAACTTTGCAAGAGATAAGACTCAACAGAAGAAAAGTTACTTCGAAGACCACGAATATTAGTAAATGATAGGTTTAGAGAACTTTGTGATGACAATGGTTTTTTGTGTTTTTTAGTTTCAGGTACTTTAGTCATTTTAAATTTATAAAGAACTTGACTCAAGTATAGATAGTACTCAGTACACTATTTAACAGCTAAGCAATAGCCTCATTACTATTAATAAACCCTAAGCCGTAACAAAGGGCTCCAAATGTGGCCTCTGCAATGCACACCAAAAGTACAAACAGGGACACCATCCATGCGCAACATGGCACTGTTAGTACTCTGATATTTTTCGGCTGTTGATGGAATCAGCCTCTCTGAGAGCTACCACAGAGTTTGGGAAACCTGACTACCAGCCGGCCTCAGAACCATAAAACTAAGTTTTAGAGCTGTACCCTCATTAGGAGATAATAGAATGAGTTGCCCAGTCATAAAAATAGAGACACAAGCAATACCCACGCATTGAGTCAAGAAGATCCAGCATTCAACATCCTAAACTGGAAACAATGTATTAAAAATACATCTGCGCCAGCCTAATAGATGAAGAATCATATATTTCATAAAAGAAATGATTTTGTATCATGATATGTTTATACATGTTCACATGATTGAACATGTCGGAACATTGTATCACTATATGTTCATACATGTTCACATGGTTGAACATGTCTGAACATTGTATCAAAACATGTCTGAACATTGTATCATGATATGTTCATACATGTTCACATGATTAAACATGTCTGAACATTGTATCAAAACATGTCTGAACATTGTATCATGATATGTTCATAAATGTTTTTTGCTTCAAACCACTGATTTGTGTTATTATTTTTATCATTTTAAATATAGAGTTAAATTGCTTTAAAAGCAACACATAATAATGTTTTTAAAAGGAAAGAATGATAGGTTTGACATTTAATAATGTTTTAAAAGGAAAGAATGTTAGGTCTGATATTTTAAAAAGAAAGAATGATATGTATGACATTTAATAAAAAAATGATATTTAATTAAACTATGTTACGATATTAATAAAACTTTTTATAAAATTTATGGAAAAAAAAACAAACAATTAATGAAAATTAAATGAAGTAAGAAAATGATCTAACAGTTATCTGTGAGAAAATTATAAAATTTGCTCAAGCAGTTTCCAAATCTATTCTTAATACTCTCAATCTGGTGACTTCGACTGTAGAAGTTTTTGGTAATCAAAGAAGAAGAATTATTGAGACTTTGAAGATAAAAAACAAAATTTAAATTTGTCTTACAATGAGCAAGTAAGTCTGGGGAATTTTGCAAAAGTAAAATTTAATACATATAAAGTATTTTTTTTTATTATTATTTTTATATTTTGTAGCTGTTTTGTTTTGTTTCCAAAAAAACAGGCCATTAACTAGTAAGGTAGGGCATCATTACTGATTAAAGTAATGTCAAATATCTTGACAGCTGACCTGCAACAGTGACATGTCTTGATTATAATTATTTCCTAATTTTGAAAAGATTTTATTCAACAAGAATTTAAAGGGCTTTTTTAAATTCTTGTTGAGTTCTTTAAGTTCTTGTTCTAGCTGACTTGGCAGCTGCTTGTGTTCTGGTTCTTTTCCACAAGGCGGAGAAGATGTCCATTACCTGTGTAAGGGTAAAGACAAAAAATGCTGGATGTAATAAACATGCAGCAGATGGAAGAGTATTAAACCTATCTAATCCAGCTGCAGAATAGATTAAAACCATCAACGTAGGTTTCTGAAAAGATTTGCTGTCAAAGACTTGTTTGTAGGATGTTCTTGGGAATGGTACTTCAAATTAAGTATATATGATAGAACTGTGAAAAAGATTGGGTATTTCAAGGTTTAAATCCCTTTGTACAGTGAAGGGTTTCAAAAGTATAGAAATGTTTTGAAGCTGAATTCACTTGCATTGAGTGTGTTAATACCTAAATTTAAGTAAACCATCTCAAATTAAATTTAATTACCAATAGCAATTATAATAAGTAATAATTCTTGGTTTTATGTTCCTTATTCATACTGTTGTGAAGGGGTTTACCTTTTCTTACAGCATTAAAAGTTTTGGTGTCTAAATGTTGATGCAAACTTAACAATAAATTTGTTATTGTCTTCATTATTGAATTCACTTATGAATTGTTAAGCTCTTTTTTTTATTTATCTAAAATTTCAAAAGATGGAGCTTGCAAAAAAACTTAGTCAAAAAGTCAAACTTTAATTGATTTTGATCATTTAACCCATGTTTTTGATTTTTAATTATGTAACTTTTGATTATTGTTGTTTTGGGCCCTTTTTTTATCAAGTTTTTGTTTATTAAGTGCCTCTATGGTTTTCAAAAGATTTTACTTCCAAAATGCTTCATGTTTGATTTTGACATGGCTTATAATTGTTGAAGTACTGCAACAGCTTATTTTGTAACATTTAAATCAAATTTTATACTTGGCAAAACTTTCTTTTGACACCTTTAATCAGAATTTTATTATAAATTGCTCGTATGACAACCATTTTATTACCATAAATGAATATATATATATATAAATTTAATTTTAAACAAGTGTAAATAACAGATAAAAAAATTCAACATAAATGAATTTGATTTGTTTACGTAAAATAAAAAATTACAACTGTTAAGAAATTGAAATCAAAAACTCTCAAAAAGCTTACTTCGTCATGGTTTGCAATATATGTTCTAAATTTAATTGCAAGCTGTTCACGGACTATTTTGTTATATTTGCATTCTTCTCTTTTTTACTTTGCTTTTCTGTGGTTTAAAAATAAATAAATTAAATAAACAAAATACAATATTAAATAATTTAGTTTTGAATAAGTTTTTTGGTAATTTATATACAATATATATTAGATAAGAGTTTTTATTCCTTCTGTAGTGTTCAATTATTTGTGTCTTTAAGTAGCAACTAGTTTTGTCAATATAACAAGATAAACATCCTGCACAAACAAATTTGTAAACAAAAAATGATTTAAAATCTACAGAAAAGTGATCTTTAAATAAAAAAAAGTTAGACACTTTTAGCGAAGTAAATATTGCGACAATTGACCTACAATATCTCTTATAGTTATGTGTAATCTTTGCTTTGCTAACTCAGATATTTTACCAATATAAGAAAGTTTAAAATAGGGAGAATTTGTTGGGTCTTCAGAGGGTAATGGAATATCATAATTACCTTTATTTAAGTAAGAGTTGTGGATTTTTTCTATTATCTGAGATATATATTACGTTTGAGAATTTTAAAAAGATTGTTAATATTGTAACAAAGACTGAGACCAGTATTGTTAATTTTGAAAATTCTACAAAATTATTTGAAAAAACTTGAAATTATTTGAAAAAAACTAAGCGTTTTATAAGACTTATTTTATAAGAAAATGAACTAAAGATGTAAAAATTAGTGTAAAATCCAGTAAAAATTTTTTTTATGAAAAACTGTTGTAATCATTGAACTTATTAGCTTACATAAATTTATGTCCAAAAAAAGATACTTTTGAGTTTTCTTCCTTTTTCATGGTAAAAGATATTAAAGAATATTTTTTGTTGATATAATCCAAAAATAAAAATGTGTAATTTTCTAAAGGGAAAGCAGCAAAAATGTCATCTACATTACATTTGTAAAACAATGGTTTTACTTCATTATAAGATTTGATTCATTTTTCTTCATTACTCACAAATAGATAAGCAAATACATGTGTTAATAGAGAATCCATAGCAAGACCATCAATGTGATCATAAACCTGTTCTTTAAAGTAAAAATGTGTTTGCACTGTTGAGAAAAGAAAGAGTTTTTAAAAATTACTTTTGTTGATTTGAATTGGTTTTTATGATAACATCAACAGCATTATCTATTGTTTCATGAAGTCTCTCTATTATAAATAGATCAATATTAAAGGTGTATCAAATTTTATCTTGGAGGATGTTTGGTATATATTTTTAAATCAATTTAAAGCTATTTTTTGTATATAAGTAATTTTTAATTGAAATTAATAATGTCAAAATGTATAACTTAATTTTATTTTTCTATGTGTATGTCTTTTCTCATGTAAGCATAATATACATTTAACTAATAATAAAATATCTTTATATAGGAATTAGAATTTTTTTTTGGTCTTAATTCTCCAAAACCTAAAGCTGAATTTAAAAATTGCACTCTCTGCATTGTTAAACCTCATGCAGTTGCTAACAATCTTCTTGGAAATATTTTAAGCGCTATACAACAGGAAGGTTTTGAACTTTCTACATTGCAAATGTACAGACTAGAAAAAAATGACGCTGAGGAGTTTTTTGAAATATACAAAGGAGTTGTCAGTGAGTACTGTGTAAGTTTTTTTATTCAATTTTACAATATATTGTTTTTATGTTAATTATATATATATATTATATATATATATATATATATATATATATATATATATATATATAATATATATATATATA